GACTCTTCAAGCTACGGGAAATTCAAGAAGACATTAATAAAGCAAATACTTAGGTGAAATTATCAGATGTTATTATACCCTCACCAAAGTGGATTTTTTAAAAGTAAAACTATTTAGTGCTTCAGTATCTCGAAATCAGTCTGCTTGTAAGTTTTCTTGAGCCCCCAGTGTATACTGATTATATCTTTCAACTTGTTTTTCATTAATGATAACATTATTTCATAATTGAAAGAACAAAGTATGTTTTAAGAAATTTAAGCATATTTTATCTGAACTACCAGACTGTGTGGAAATCTGAAAAGAACGATAAAAGTTTGCTCAGATCTACTGAGCCATACTTGATTTGACCATACATGGCTGTCCCTAAACATTTAAATCGTGACTAATCTGTTATTTGTTAATCTGAAATGCTTATACTCAAATAAAATATGATTTTTTTCAAACACATTAATATGAATAAGTCTGGCTTAGTGAGTCAGTAACAAGTGTCATACTAAGGAAATGGAATCTCAAGAGATATAAAAAATAATTCAGTACTTGCAGGAAACTCATCTGTTTTTCCACTTATGCACAGGATATTTACATGCAAAGCTACTATTGAAGCTACTTGTAGTTAACATAGCGCAGTTGTAAGGATACAGAAAATTGGAATGTTGAAAAAAAAGCAGTATTTTCCAGCCACTACAATGTATGGTTTAATTGGTATCTGCAGATTTTTCTGTTTATAAATGTTTGGGGTTTATGAAAGATTTATAAAAGGATGACTCCCGAGAACTGAGACTTTCAATATTATCCTATTATTCTAGGACAGGTTCAGCTGAAAAAATGTTCACTTTTAATCCAAGAATAAAAAATTCTTTTCTACGTGCTACTATGAATTTAGATGCAATTAATTTGAGAAGCAGTTCCAATTATGTTTGCTGGCTTAAATAATTGCATGAATCTGGTTAATACTTGAAACCAGAAACATTCTATGTGGCTTTGAAATTAACTTCAAGTGTTTTACCTTTTTTTGTTACATACGACTGTTTTGACACATCATTTTGTAGATTTATGTAAGGTGATTTCTCTTTGTATGGGAATTTTATGTCCCCTTTGTGCTGAAATAAATAACATTACTGCAACACTGATTGAAGGGTAACATGCTCCTGACCAAATAAAGCGCACAAAATTAAAATAAACACATGCTGACAAATTTACAGTTTGCTAAAGCAAGCACTGTATTTCATTAGGGGATACGAAGTAATATTTCTAAAAGAATTTTGACCCTAAACCATTATAAAACTAATCTGAGGGCATTCAGGAATGGTTAGGGAATGTTAAGAGGAACCATGATTTTCCAGTCTGATTCATAAGTTCAAATATATTTAAAAAAAAGTCTTTAAATATTTAAATAGTGCATTCACTGTGTATAATAAAAAATTACTAGAACACCACTAATCAGCAAAGCAGCTAGATCCACCTGCATCCTACAGATTTTCACTGATTTTTTTCTGTTGTAGTCATGTGAAGGAATCTTTGTAACAAATGAAGGTCCCACTGCGTTGAGAATCCCAAGGATGACATGGATAAACAGCTATGGACTCATATGAAACCTATTTGTAGTTATAAGCCATCTAGTATAGGAACTGATATAGGAAAACTTTTACTCACTGGTATAAAATGAAGAAGCCAGAATCAAATGTATTTTTCCAGCAAAACCAGTACCCCTCCAAAGAAAAACAGTATCTCACCTTGTTTAGAGTGGTGATGAAGTACCAAACTATGGCCCTAAATAGCAAAGGCTATGCAAGTGTATACCTAACTTCTGTGGCCAAAGCATTCTGACACTCATGCACGATCCAGCGGAGAAGAGATTTATTGAAGAAGCCTTTGTGAGTGGTTTTTGCAGAGATATGGGCAGTAACAAGTGTCCACTGATTTCTTGGAAGAAATGGTGGAAGCCAGAGTCTCCCTGAAGCCTCTGAGGCTCTCCCAGCCAAGTCAGCTCAAATGCCCCTTGGGTATCCCTTTGCTGCATGACTGCTCCCATTTACCTTCAAAGCATGCTGAATCTTCACACGCAAAACATAGTGTCAGCAGAGTGTCATGGTCTCTGGCTTTGCTTTTTTTCAAGTGGTTCTTCTCCTATCATGAGTGCAGCCTGGTACTGCACGCTGAATTGCTTTCACATTAATTACAATGACGCTGATCAGACTGCATTAACTTGACGGCTCCATGGATGTGACATATAGATTGTTCCCCAATGGATTCTCTGTTATACAGCAAAATGAAGTATTTTCTCTTCACAGAAAAGACTTAAGGCGCACAGGTCATGGTCTGTTTGGATCTCTCAAATTTACAGGACAGGATACTCTGTAAATTAAACTTTATTTTATGAGCTCATGAGGAAAGAAAACAAACACAACAAACAAGAGCTTAATCCCCTTTGCACGTGAATTCACACTTAATTCATGAGCTTTCTAACTCACAAGTTCTCTAATTCATAACTCACAACCTGTAACTCGTAACTTACGCACCTACGAGCAGAACATTCCCTAGCCAACGGTGAGAGTGCTCATCTTTCCTCCTCTGTCAGGGTGCAGGCAAACCCCTGTATCACACTGGCAAGCACAAAAGCCTTAGCAATCCAGCTGTTGTTGGAGCCGCTTCTAAAACTTTTTGGGTATGTATTTAGCCCTGCTGTTGGGAAAACACATCAGCTGGAAGAACAAAAAGGTCAAGGAACAGGATTACATACTTAAACGATATGATATAAAATGAAAGTAATAACAATGTGTTGTAGAGATATGGAAACTTGTGAACAAAACCCTAAACATCAGAACTCACAAGACTGCAAATCAGACTCTTTCCTGATAAAAAAACATTGTCCTTACAAAACATTGGCAGTACTGTTCTGCACTCTTTTTCATACGAACTAAATACTTTTATTATTCCTTTATTAATGCTTTAGTCAAATTTTGCTATGTCAGTGTGAAATGCATTTATGGTTGCTTTCTTAGTTTGCCAGCACCAACAGCACAGAACATGCCCTCACAATTGGCCTTAATTGTCAACCTTATGGTCAGCTCAACCGGCAGACCATTTCCTGCTGGGAACTGGAAAACAGCCTAAACATCATACAGAGGTCAGCAACAATTACCATTTAATATGGCAACTCTTATTATAAAAAAAAGAAAAAAGAAAAAAAGCCATGTAGACTGGGCCCCTATGATTTTCAAATAAACATCACTTACTGTTATATATTAAAATTTTCCACTTGATGAGAGCTAAGCTTTTGGCCTAAGTTCTACAGGCAGAAACCGATTATTTTAAAATAAACTGACAAGGCTGTTCATGACCTTGCCTTCTGCAGGATTTATTTTGTCTTCTCACTTTCATTTAAGATGTAACAACAAATGCTGATGTGTGTCAGCTCTCCAGACTTAACTGAGACTGAATTTGTAGTGTTCTTCAGGGCTAGTCTAGAACCTAATAAGGGAAGTCAAAGAAGATCCTTCAAATAGGATTAATAAAGAAGAAAGATGAATTTTATCTTCTTTAAAATCATGGCTTTCACAGTAATCTGCTACAGTCAAGCTACTGATGTTAGACTTCACTAAAACGTGCTATGTTCTAATCTTTGAAAAAACCCAGAAGGGAGAAGCACATACTGGCAACAAATATGCAGTCAGGTGCCTGTTTCAGCTCTTGTTATTCTTTTATTTTATTTATTTTTTTTTAGAAAATGAATGTGTTCCATGTAACACTCTGAAATTTTTCACAGAAAAGTATTTTGCCAACATGTTGGCAAAATGTTGTTGATCCACAGTTTACAATGGCTTCCATTATTCCCCATTATAGAAAAATGTTAAAAGCAGCAAATTTGACTAACTAGCCTGAAAGTAGACAGCTTTCATTCCATAATACTCCAAGAGGTTCTGAAAGAACAAACCTAGGAAAAGTATGATTAGGAAAAAAGGAAAATTTAATCAGTTGTTAGCAAAAGATTTTATTTTGAGAAGTCAGCAATGCCATTTTCCTATGGATGGTTCTGTAGCTATTTGTCTCTATCCCTCAGTCACTCCAGTCAGTCATTTTAACTGTCAGGAAACGCCCTTTGCCATCTGTCATTACAGGTTATTCATAAACTTAATGGAATGCTGAGGAAGAGTCTGAGCAATCAGATGATTAAATGTCCGGTGCCCTAAATAGAAATATTAAGTAATAATTAAAACTGTCATCCATTAATACATAAATACAAATGCGCACACAGAATTTTTTCTCATTTTCCATTACCAGATTGCTGAAAAAATACTGAGCTGACAAAGATATATACCACTGATTCATGCCCATCAACGTTCTCATTTCTCAGGGCTGGAAGATTCAAGCTGAAAGTGGTATCATGAATAATTTTTCTATTTCTAGATCAAACTGTGTATTCACAATACAGTAAAAACATTGTTGTCGTTGGCATAGATCATCCTTAGGAAAAGGGAAGGATCTAAGGGCACATGAAATCCTTTGGTATTAATAATGATGATGATGATATGCAGGATTATAGTAATTGTAATAAATTGTTTAAAGAAAGGTTTTTTCTATTGTGCATCCAGTAAAAATAAAACTGATTAAGCTGCACACACAGTTCCAGTAGAGCGACTTTAACTCTATTATCAAAAGAAACTTCTGAATCTTCCAGTTTTCTCTGGAAATGTCACATTAGTTTC